CCCTGCACACGCGTGCCAACGAGAAAGCGACCCTCAACACAGGCTGTCTGCAGCATGGGGGGTGAGGGGAGTGGGGAAGGGGCAGCCAGAGCGCGGTCATGCGACAACCCCTGAGAAAGACAGCAAGTCGCGAACCAAAAGGGAGAGCCACACATGCTCACGCCCGCCACCGAGCACACACACAAAGCAACCCCAAAGGCCAGGACAGGCGGCTGACAACCCCGGCCGGCCCAGCCCAACGAGACGCTCCCCCGACTCAACCGGGGAGGGGGGTGGGCAGGGCCGCATTTAGTAAACCTTATCCAATTCAAAATGGCCAATATCTATTTCAATTCACTAATGCCTCTAGGATATCGATAATTATGCCCTCTATTTTATTTTTGACAAGTTCCAATTTTCCTAGATTTATACTTCTTACATTCTAATTATTAACTGATGTTTGCAACTGTTTCTTCTCATTTTGAGTTGTACCCCATAAGCAAATGAAGGTCCCGAAAGCTCTGCTCCATTCACATCATTACAGTTAACTCTACTTCTATGAGATAGCTCTTCCCCAGTCATATTTTCAGTGCCTTCCAAGCTGAGAGATTCATCTTATGGAATTATTATCAGACGATATTTCATTGCTGTTCATACGATTTTCAGTGGCTAACTCTTCAGAAGTGGTCTGCCTCTTGTTCTTCTTGTTTTAGTGTGGAAGATGGATGCTCTAAAACCTGTCCAACATGGGTGACCCTGCTATTACTTAAAATACCAATAACATAGCTTCCAGCATCGCAGCAACACACAAGCCACCACAGCAGGGCAACCTGACAAGCAAATGCTGACATTCTCAATATAGTATACCTAAGTGGTATCCTGATTCTGAAACATGTACTACAGAGGGGGGAAGGAGGACACTGCAGGTTATTGAAGATAAAACTGGTACAAGGAGGCATCAAAACGTTTGTTAGAAATAGGCCAAATCTTCTCATTCCACCTTGCCATGAACTCTTTGAAGCCCCCTATAAGGCAGCTGGAGTCCTGGTATGGCGCTATAAGATAAAGCACTGGACCACTTGAAGGGTCACTTGAATCGCAAGGTTGGTGGTTCAAACTCACCAGCCGCTCCTTGGAAAGCCTATACGGGGTCGCTCTAAGTCAGAACTGACTCGATTGACACTTAACAACAACAGGACAGGTAGCTAAGTATTTATTTTGGCCCTTCTAGCGAAATTTCTCCTTTTTGTGATACATTATTAAATCCTAGCCTCTATGCCTGTGATTATGGAACCATTTTGAAATAAGTTGCTTCGTAGTAAAGATTAAGGTGGGGCTAAGGAATAAAAATTAAGGAGATCTGGTAGCGTAGTGGACTGCGGAACCGCAAGGTCAGCAGTTGGAAACTACCAGCTGCTCCATGGGAGAAAGATGAGGCTTTCTGCTCCCATAAAGATTTACAGTCTCAGAAGCCCTGTACAGGGTCGCTATGGGTCGGAACTGACTCGATAGCACTTAACAACAAGGAATAAAAATTACAGTGGAACTAAGTATTAAGAATGTCCTTAGTAAAGGGTTTGACTCAAGTCATAACCCCTGGATTCCCCTGGGGGCATGGTCTGTTAAGACTGCTTTGGAAAAGCTTGTTCTCTTGCCCTGGATCTTGCATCTGGCTCATTAAGTCTGACCTCCAGTTCATAGGACTTTCAGTCCATCACCTGACCCGATTCTCTATCTCCTGTAGCCTGTTGTCTGACCTGCCAATTTGGATTCCTCAGTTCTTGAGACTACATGATGAGATTCCTCCAGACTGATCTCTGAACTAAGGATTTGGGGTTTGCCAGCCTCCACAATTGCATGAGCCATTTCTTTTGACAACTGTGAGTTTTATGAGACACTGCAGTATGTTGCAGAACATACTGGGACTTGAAGGAAGCAAGGAGTGGTGACTGATATCAAGGACTTTGGAGGGGCATAACACGTTGGAAAAGTAAAAATTGGGATAACTTTTTATAAAAAGAAATTATTCATGTACCCCCTCTCAACATGTTCTGGAAAACTGTGAGCTCAGTGAGAAATATTATTTGTTGGGGGGTGGGGGAGGGGGGAAGAAAGCCTTGAATTCACAACTTCAGATTGATATTTATGTAAGCAACAGGGGAGCCTCTGAAACTGTGAAGACATGAATAATTACTCCTGTCACTGCTCTAATTCAGGCCTCATCCTTTCTCATGGACTTTTATCCCAACCACCAGAGTCATCTTTCTAATATACTACAAAATGATCGTGTTGTATAGGGTTTTGGAGGCTGTAAATCTTTGCAGGAGCAGAAAGCCTCATCAGTCACCCATGGAGCGGCTAGTGAGCTTGAACTGCCGACCTTCTGGTTCACAGTCCAGTGCTTATCCTACAGAGCCATCATGTTCCTACATATTAAGCAGTCATGCAAAAAATAAAGAGGCAGCTATTTAAGTAATCCTATGGAACAATGTCCATATAGACTCTCATGTGAAATAGACAAGGTGCAGAAACAATGTGAATAGTACACCATTTTAAAAGTATTTGTGTGTTATGGACTGAATTGTGTCCCCAAAAATATGTGTTGTAACTTTTAACCTCTAACCACAAGGTTGGTGGTTCCAACCCACCAGTCGCTCCTTGGAAACACTATACACAGTGGCTAAGTCAGAACCAACTCAGTGGTACTTAACAACAGTATGCCTAAAGTTATAGTCTCATTAAGGGAGCCCTGGTAGCAGAGTGATTACAAGTCAGGCTGCTAATCTCAAGGTAAGCAGTTCAAAAGTACCAGCCATTCCACGGGAGAAAGACGAGGTTTTCTGCTCCCATAAAGATTTACAGCCTCAAAAACTCTATGCAGGGTCACTATGAGTTCAAATAACTCCACCACTACCCACCACAGTCACACTTGGGAATGGGTTGTCTTATTATGTTAATGAGACAAGACAAGGTGTGTCTTGAGTTAATCCCTTTCAAAATATAAAAAGAGCTGCTTAAGGAAGCAGAGATGAGTTCTGGTGTGGCACTACAGGATAATGCAGTAGACCACAAGGTCACTTTGAACTACAAGGTTGATGGTTCAAACCTACCAGCCGCTCCTTAGAAATCCTATAGTGTCACTATGGAGGCCTGGTATAGAACTGTGAGATAAAGCACTGGACCACAAGGTCGGTTTGAACCACAAGGTCACTGAGTCAGAAAGGACTTGATGGCACTTAACAACAACAAGGAAGCAGAAATGGAGGAAGATAGATCTTCATGGAACCAGGAAATAACATGGACACACAAGGACCTTCCCCAGTTCCTACAAAGAGAAAGCCTTCTCCTAGAACTGAGACCCTGAATTTGGACTTGTAGCCTCCTCACAGTGAGAAAATAAATCTGTTAGTTAGAGCCATCCACGTGTGGAATTCCTATTATACCACCATCAGATAATTAAGACATTGTGTGCATATGAATACAAAATAACCCCGAAAGGATAACCTTATACTATGAGTCAGGATCAACTCAACGGCACGTAACAGCAACAACATAGGGTTTTCAAGGAGTGGCTAGTGGGTATGAACCACCAACCTTATGGTTAGCAGTCCAGTGCTTATTCTATAGCACCACACTAGGACTCCTTTTATATAATCTTTTTGTTAAGTGCCGTCGAGTCGGTTCCTACTCACAGCAAACCTGTATAGGGTTTCCAAGGAGCAGCTGGTAGGTTTGAACTGTCAACCTTGTGGTTTCCAGTCCAGTGCTGATCCTACAGCACCACACCAGGAGTCCATATGCCCTTTGTTGTTGTTCCAACTCATAACAACCATGTACAGGGTTTTCAAGGAGCAGCTGATGAGTTTGAACTGCCAACCTTGCAGTTCAAACTGACCTAGTGGTCAAGTGCTTATCCTGTGGCACCATACCAGGACTCTATATGCCATATACATGTCTAGGGAAAAAATACTTAAAAATTAAATAAGACTATAAATAGAAATGAAGTTATATTACATGTAACAATATGGATGAACTTTGAAAACATTGTTAGTGAAGTAAATCAGATAGAAAAAGGTAAATATTCTAAGACAGATGTCCCTTATATGAAATACTTAGATTAGCCAAATGCATAGAATGGGAAACATTGCTGAAAGGGTGCTGAGTTTCTGTTTGAGGTGATGTAAAACTATTGGAAATGGGTAGTGGTGATGGGTTGTTGTTAAGTGCTGTCGAGTTGGTTCTGACTCACAGCGACCCTGGATAGGGTTTCCAAGGAGCAGCTGGTGAACTTGAACCACCGCCCTTGCAGTTTAAATGACTTTGCAGTCTGACGCATTAGCCCACAGCGCTACACCAGGAAACCCTAGACTGTAAGTATTAGGGAGGTATGAAATGAGTTTAAACAGGGCAGATGATGTGGTCAGACTGTTGTTGTTAAGTGTCATAAAGTCGGTTCCAACTCGTAGCGACCCTAATTAGGGTTTCTAAGACGCAGCTAATGAGTTTGAACTGCCCGCCAACCTTGTGGTTCATAGTTCAGTGCTGATCCTACAGCACCAGATAAGGCCATTAAAAACCATGGGGCATATGTCCAAGGATGACTGGCAGCTTATACTAGGGTTATGGGAATGGGAGGGATAGAAAAAGCTGGTAACTTCTCAAAAAATTTAGGAGGGATGTGACTCAGTTATGGACCATATATAGGATCCTAGATAGTAGTTAGTGGGAAGAAGAGTCAGGGATGCCCAGGTTAGCAACTTACACAACTGTGTGACTAGAAGGTAGGTAATACCTGGTTCCTGAGCTGGAATCAGGGTTGGGAAAGGTGCCTTAACATATAATGCCTCTTTCTTAGACTTGCCATTGCTTAACAATGAATGCTCCAAAGAAATCCCAGGAAACAAAAACCCACATCTCACCAGTATCATAGACAGAACTTATGAGAGCCAGGCAGAAGGGATTATCACATCCCACAGCCCTGGGTAGAAAAGAGGGCTGCCATGAAGATCTGGAACAGGTACCTTATACATGGTGGTTTTATTTTCAACAGCATCTGCTATTTTCCTCGTCGGAGAATGGAGCCACTTGATCTCCATCTCGAGCGGGTCCATGTCACCCAACAGCTCATCAGATTCTCCAGTGGCCAAGCCTTTAACACAACCAACACCACTGTCAGGGCCCAGGCTCCCACTGCTGCCAGTCACCTGGTCAGGCCACAATGGAATGGACATGTAGACACTGCCCAGAGGACTAGGGAAGGAGGGTTTTTTGTTCTTATGGAGGTGCGTGACAGAAAGGATTACAAGTATGGGTTTTGCACAAGGTAAACCAGGGTTCACATTCTATTTGCCTGCTGGGAACTGCCGTCTGCCACAAGCCCTATCACATAGGGCTGCTTGACAGTCACAGCAAAGATTCCTGTAGAGTACTGGACTACCATGGTGCTCTCTCAATGGCAGCCAGTCGGATTCTCTCCCAAGGAACAGGCCTTTCCATCTGGCCCCTTGCCAGGAGCTGTGCTCTACAGCAACCCACAGATGTGCTCTTGCCCTATGTCCACACTATCTTCATGCCTGCTTCTTCAACTCTGTCCACTATCCCCTTCCTTGGGCCTTCTAATTCCTACTCTTCAAGAACCAGCATTAATGCTAGCTCCTCCAAGAAACCCTCACCACTAAGCTCTCCCCAATTTCTCAGACCTCAATCTTTTGACAAAGTGCATTCTCCATGATGGAGTCCCTCTTATCCTCACACTCAGTCAAGGGTCAAACATCATCATAAGAATATTGATTTCTAATACCTTCCAAAGGTTCATTTGATAGAAACTAAAATTCAGAAAGGAGACTGGCTTGCTTAAAGTCACATGGGGAATACATATGAAGTAGGCAAGATCTCTCATTCTCAGTAAGTCCGACAGAAGGAAACCATTGGCTTTTTCAACTACCCCAAGAATATCCAGACAGCATAGTACTGGGCACTTTTACTAGGGTAGAGACTGAACCACAGGCTGGGGCAACAAAAGATGGTGGTGGCGCTGTGCCATGAGTTGGTTCTGACTTATCGCGACCCTGCATAGTTTCCAAGGCTGTAAGTTTTTATGGGAGCAGAAAGCCTCATCTTTCTCCTGCAGAACTGCTGGTAGTTTCGAACTGCTGACCTTAACCACTACCCTACCAGAGCTCCTACAAAGGATAGTATCTGGCAAAAATATCTGTTTCTGGAAGTCACACCTCTGAACAATGGGGATGAGAGTGAAAATCCAAGAATGGATATAAAAGAGCTGTGGAAAAGCCTAAGTAAGCATTAGAGAAAGGTTTTTTGAGGCAAGTGTCTTAGTCCATTCCAGATTCCAAGCACCTCACTGTGTACCAGGTACCCTGCTGATTTTTTCATGTCTACCAAAGCTCACAACCAACCCCCACCCCCCACCCCATGATCCAGATTAGAAATATTCCCCTTTTCAAGAGAACAAGAGTTGGGTAAACAAACTGCCCAAGCCCAATGCCTGAGTGAGGCCAGGGAAGTGGGGAACACTATTGTCAGGTCTGTGAAATACCACTCAGGCAACAGAGTTCTAGGTAGGTCAGTCCACCCATTCCTGCTTACATTCCATCGTGTCTTCGTTGGCCTTTTCGGTGTCCTCAATGTCAAAGACCTCCGTCATCTTCTTAACAATCTCAGCACTGAGATGAGTAGGTAAAGTGTGGGTGGGTGGTGGTAGTGTATAGAAGCTGATCTTTCCACTGTATTGAGAGGTAGGGGGAAAATTCGTGGGGATGTCATTAAGAGAACAAATGAACACTGAGAAAGAAAATGAGTTCCCAAGCCAGAAAGAGAGAGGAAAGCCACACAATGGGTTGAGTTGCTAGATCATCAATGGGCACAAATACCCAGTCAGAGCATGACCTGGGGTGGCTTTGGCCTTCCCTTGCCCTGGGACCTAGAAGGCCAGGCTATCCTACTGACTGCAATGAATACTCATGAGCTAATTTGTGGTGCCTGATATCCAGCAGGCCTCACCCATACACTAAGCCCCCTTCTTACCTCACCCAGTCAGCCAGGACAGCTTTGGCTGCCTGTTCCTGACTGTATAGGCCTCCCTTCTTTTTTTTTCCAAAACGGTGGGCTATTGCAGTCAAAAAGTGTTCAGTGGTCTGGAACCCAGAGACGCCGTAATAGTTGGAAATCTGTTAAGGGAGGAAAAGGAGTGTTATGAGGATGAAAGGGCCCTTGGAGTAGGGAAGGGAACTAGCAAGAGGCCTACATACCTCCTCCAGATTACAGCGGTGCAAGATGGTCTCCACTGGGGTCACAGGGTCTGATAGCTTCTGCACATGGATGCAGTTGCGTAAGATGGTGCCCACTTCTGATTTGGGTCCTGGGACAATGCCTGGGGCATCCAGCAACCTAATGAACTTGTCCAAGTAGACCTCCTGCATGAACCTGGGATGAGAGAGAGGCAACAAGAGAGGAAAGCAGTACATTCATGAGCCCACGTGTGTCCAATATCCTGTAGGCCCCAGTCTCAGGTTGGGCCTAAGTGAGGGGAGGCAGGGAATATGAAAAAACAGTGAGGTGAGGATGTCATACAGATGAAGTGGGAGATGTATCAGACTGGAGACTCTGAAGTCCTACAGACCCAAGACTGATTCTAATCTAGCCACACTGAGGACTGAGCTGCAGAACCCTGGACAATCTTTGGACCCTTCAAACCTTAGTTGCTTTATTTAATAAATGGAACAATTTATTAGTAGCCCAATATCGCAGTTGTCAGGAGCCTTCAAAGAGTTAATGAGGGAAGAAACTAGTTGGGTGTATGGCCCACACCTAGGCTGTACCAGGTAAATGAGGGCTGTTACCGAGTCCCCATGCCATGCCCAGGAGTAGATCAGAGGCAAATCCAAACTGAGGAAAGGAATAGGGGCTGACGTTATGGGAGTCAGGGGGAATAGTAAGGTCAAGAAGCTGTGGAGAGGGAAAGCAGGCAGGTATTTACTTGGTAACTCCAGGAACAGCTCCCACACTGCAGGCACGGCTGCGCTTCAGGCTATTGATCAGGCTGCTCTTCCCGACATTGGGAAGGCCTACAAAGTAACAGCAGGTAGCTTAGAACAGGAAAGGCCCTTAGGTTCATTCGGGCCAGCCTGTGTGAGGGAGGCAGGGCATGTGACCAGGTCACTAGGGAGTCAGTAACAGAATCTGGCCTCCTGCCTTCTCACCCCAGGTCAATCAAGCTCCTAGATGGCCTCTCTATACCTTGCCTCCATTTGTGAGCATGTTGAGTAAATACATCCCTCTCTCTAGATGTGACACCTAACCCAATATCCACGGTCAGCCTAAGAAAGGTTCTCAGAAACAAAGTCTCTGTAATATGGTCCAATAGAGAGCAGACATCAAAAAATATCTGGTCAACAGTCTATACTGGTGTACAACTTGCTGGTGAGGAGAGGGGATGACTCATACCTCTAGATGCTGGTCTGTGAAACTCTCTGCTTGTGATGTTTTTCTGCTTGTCTAAGCATCTGTGGGTCTGTGTAAGTCTGAATCTCTCATTCTCATGTGTACTAGAACTGAATCTCTCATTCTCATGTGCACCAGAACTGACATGTGTGTACCCACTATGTATGGAAGTATCTGTGCATCTCTGCTTCTTAGTTATTTTCATTGTAACTATCACTACTTTTTTTCCCTTTGTCTTTCTCTCCCACTCAAGTCTGTTTCTGACTCTGTGTCTGTATAATTGTATTTAAACACTTTTTTTCCTGCTGCTTTACATCATTGTATCTCATTCTGACTATTGTCCTTTCTCTCTGTGAGTCCCCCACCCCACCCATTTTCTCTCTTGATCTCGACTCCTTAGTCTCTTTCTGTACCGTTTTCCTTCTTTGTGGGCTGTTGTTGCTCTAGATGTGTTTCACTGCATCTCTTTTTTTTCTCTCTCCCTGACTCCCTATATACATCTGTTTCTTTATAATTGCATATCTGTGCATTTGCTTCAGCTGATTCTGGGTATGTGATGGTCTGAAGTTTATAGTGTATCTTAAGCACATGTCCCACTGTGCCCAGTCTGTTTGCTTTGGAGAAGCAGTTTGGATAGGTGTTGTGTGGGAAGGGCTTGGTTTGCACCCAGTGTATCTCTGGATCTATGTATTTCTACTGATATGCCTCTTCTGTCTCTGTATATGTATACCTGTATATGAGTGTTTATGGATCAGTATATGTGTAGTGGTTACGAATTGGGCTGCTAACCTCAAAGTCAGCAGTTTGAACCTACCAGCCGTTCCGTGGGAGAAAGATGAGGCTTTCTGCTCCCATAAAGATTTACAGGCTCGGAAACCCTGTGCAGGGTCACTATGAGTCAGAACCGACTCCACGGTACTTAACAACAACAACATATGTGTCTTCATTACTCTGTGCCTACATCTTTGCTGCTGTTTTCTTATGTGTATCTCTCGGTCCCTGTGGGTGAGTCTCTCTCTGGATCTTAGGGTATGTATGTCTGCCTCTATGTCCCTCCTATATCTCTCAGTATGCCTCTGTGCACATATCCTTTTCAGGTTTTTTTCTGATCATATCTTCCTCTCTCTGCATACCACTGTCATTTAAATTTGTTCCCCCTGTCCCACTCCCCAACAACCCTACCATCTGGCTTCCTAGTTCTTTTTCTGGTGTAGCTATAGTTTTTTTTCTCAATATCTACCTCTCCCTCATCTTTTTTGGCTTCACATCTTTCCCTGATGACCTGCCTCTGCCACTCTCAATTTCCTACCCCAGTTTCCACTGTCCTGGGTTCCAGACAGGCCCAGGCTTGAGTTTCAGTTCTGCTTTGTGTCACACAGGGCTGGGTGCCACAAATCACTTTTTCCTTCTCTGGGTCTCAGTGTTCTCATCTCTAAAAGGGAGATATCTATCCCTCCCTCCCACAGCTCTGGTAGAATGAAATGGTGACAAGCTTCAAACTTGGCACCATGCATTTGGTTCATTCAATACTTTCTTCCCATTTCTACCAATCCAAATGACAAATCAGCCACTCCTGTCTTCCCCAAAAAAACAATACAAAGTTTCTGGAATCCTTTTTCCCAATGAATTCCCTGTGTGAGGAAGGAGCCCAGACACCATGATCACCCCCAGGCCTTACCCACAACCCCCACACGGATGTGGGTGCGCACTTCACCAAGGCGACAATAGTTCCCCAGAATCCTCATGAGGTTTTCAGCTCCAAAACAGGATTTGCTTTTCAGCAATGACTCAGAGGCCTGCTCTACTGGCACACTGCAGCGGTTCTGGAAAATGTGAGTATTACAGAAGAGGTAACAGTGGGATATGAGATCTGAGTCCAGATTTCAAAGACCCCACTGTACTCAGGAATTTGTTCCTCAGCCTAAAATGGAAAGCTTCTCAATACAGGTCCTAAATAATTGTCATTTTCCTGTCCCCCTTTGGAGACCTTTAAAGCCTGTTCTGTCACGTCTCTAGTCTTTTATATCTTTGCCTCTGCTTTGATGTTTCTTGCCTCCCTCAACAGGGGCAAGACGGAGCCCTGGCATCTAGGCAGGCCAAATGTGAGTTCTAGTTCTGCCTGTCAAAGCAAATTCTGTTTCCCTGCTCTGGGCCTCAATGTCCTCATCTACAAAGTGGGATGCTCACCTTCCCTACCTATGATGGGATGGTAGCCCACAGCCTACCTTCCCTAAGTCCTCACACAGAACAAGGCCATTTCAGCCTGCCTGTCTTTACTCCTGATGCCACTTCCTTGACCAGAATGCACTTTTTCCTCTTCTTCCCTTACTTGTTTCTAACATGGCAAAATTGGTATTATTCTAAATATTAATCAATAAAAAACAGGTTAAAAAATGTATATCCTTAAAATTGAATGCAAATGAAAAACAACTGTTAGAAAAGGATACATACAACATTTTTGCTATCAGAGAAGCCAAACTTCTATAAATGAGGTATGACATTTCACCCACGTTGACAAAAATTATAACAAGTATTTAAGGAAATAGCCCATCTCAAATATTCATCTATTTTTCTGGGGGAATAAATTGGCACAGCCATTATGGAGCACAGTTTGTATCTAAATAAATGTTAACAGTGAGAAATGTGCAAGTGTTTCTGTTGAAGCTCTGGTTATAATAATGAAATACTGGAAACGAATGTTATGCAGTACCAAAAAGGTCAATCTTTGAGGAAAAAATAAAATAAAAAGGTGACAGAACAATATTTATAACACCTCCAAGACAATATTTTTGATGAATATACTTTTGTTGTTGTTGTTAAGTGCCAAGGAGCCATGTGGCTGAGAGGCCAAGGACAAGAGGGAGCAGTGACTGCAGTACAGTTGAGAAGAGGCATTCCTGACCAGGGATCTGCTATAGCCTGAGTTGTATCTGATCCTGAATTGTACCCTGTTCACGTTTCTAGTAAACCCCACAATCATGACTGTTGTCTGTGAGTTCTGTGTGGTCACTTCAAGGGGTTATCAAAGCCAGCAGAGAAGTAGAGTATGTCATGGAAGGGATGGCTGGTGTCAGGACAGAGTAAAGAAAGTTAAAGGGTGGAGACATATCTGGCCTCCACCTCATAGGAATTAACCTTGGGCTGATTTTGAGTTTGATACTCCTTCCACCTTGTAAAGTCAGAGGGGGTCAGACATGGCATAGCCTCCACGCCACTTTTTCAACTACCCAATCCTGGCCCCAGGCTACCCTGAAACAGTCTGGATGGCCCTGTACCTCAGGCTTACCAGGTTTTTTATCTGATGCTGGGTACTGGCCTTGAACGCTACAGTTGGCAGTTCATTCCGAAGGTAATCCAGCCACTTTGCGACAACTTCCTTGGGTACCAGGTCTGGAAAAATAAGAACAGATGGGACTGATAAGGACATCATCTTAATAGCTCACTCCAAAGATGCTTAATCCACAACCAAGGTTAGGTATATATCCTACCAATAGGTATTTCTGCTGGCCCTTTCAGTCCTTCTCTGGTCTCCAGGCTGGAGTTAGAAAGGACAATTTGATCTATGGGATAGCTGGTCCTCCCACTTAAAGTGGGCCGTTAGTCCTATTGGGAGAATGGGTAAACTAGCTGTTTGGTCTCAAATGCCCTCCTTCCAAGCCAGTGTGCTCAGGATGCCAAAGGACTCCCAGATATCCCCTTTTCCAATCCTATCATTCTCGGCTGGGCCAAATGTCAAGAACAACTCTAACAACAATGCTGTTGGTAAGTGCCATCAAGTTGGTTCAGACTCATAGCAATCCTATGTACAACAGAACAAAACACTGTCCAGTTCCCCACATCTTCACAACCATTGCTATGTTTGTGTCCAATGTTGCTGCCACTGTGCCAATCCATCTCCTTGGAAGTCTTCCTCTTTTTCACTGATCTTCCACTCTATCAAGCATGATATTACTCTCCAGGGACTGATCCCTCCTGATAACATGTCTGACAATAATAGTTACCACTTATGGAATACTGACCACATATCAAATACTTTACCATTATTTATCAAAAATATCCTATGAGGTTGGGACTACCTATTTTATAGCTATAGAAACTAAAGCTCTCAGAGGTGATATGTTTTGCTTAAGATGCTAGAAAAGATAGATGGCACAGCTGGGATGGAACCCAGACCTAAGGAAATCTTTAACCCATGTGATCTCCTGTCTTTCTGCCTTGTAAGCTGCAAGGTTAGTTATACCTATTGCTGCCTCCATCTCCACGCCTGCTCCCAACTGCCAGTCTTTGAGCTCTAGCTTTGGGGATAAGCACTTCAAGGCGTGTCCAGTCATAGATAAGGCTCAAATTGGCAGGAACAAGGGACTTAAAGGCAGACAAGCTTGGGCTCCACACCAAACTTCTATTATTGTATGTGTGTGTTTTCAGACAAGTGACTTCACCTCAAATTCCTGACTTTGAATCCTACCTGCATAACTGGTATGAATACCACTACATTGTTAGGTCTTGATGCCTGGTCCCAACCTATTCTTTCAAGAAAGTTTGGACCCTTCCCTGTCTTATGCAATCTTCCCCAAACTAACCAATTTTGTTTAAGACCAAGACCAGCTTCTTATTGCCATCTGCCTGTAAGACAGCCTCCTCCATTTGGAAGCAGCGACAGCCCAAAGGATCTCTGGCATCCAAGACTTCCAGAATCACATCAGAGTACTCCACCACCTGCAAGACAGAGAACAGAGGAGCTAGGAGGCAGAGATCTGGGGAGCAGTCACGCAAGCCCATGAAAGAAAAGGGCCCCATCTCAGTCAGGAAAACCAAAACTAGAGAAGACAGAATTGGATTTGTGCCCTCTCTAAAAGATGCTAAGAAATGGGTCTCCATACCTTACGGAACTCCTTATAATAAGCCTTCCTTGTGGCTTCATCATCCAGCTGAGGAAACATATTTAATTCCTGTAAAACTTCCTCCTAAAGGAAAAAAAAAGCAAGTGGTCCAGAGGGACAAAAGAGAACGAACCATGGCTTTGGAAACCATGAGAAACATGGGAAGCCATGTTGAGTCTCACCCAATCCAAAAGTAGTTTTGACAAGCCAACGAAGCTGGGAACTGGAAAAATGAAGAGTGTGTGCCTAAGTGTATGTGTGTGCTTGAGCTGAGAACAACAGCCAAAAGCCTGTATTTATGCATGGGTGGGTAAGGGAGAAAAACAATCTACAGGGGACATGAGTCAGAAAGCGAAGGAAAAATGTATACTACATATCAGAAAAGGAAGTATGATTTAGAAAGTGATTATTCTGTTTGTGAGGTAAGAATATATAACAAAGAGCTAAGAAGAAGCCCTAGATGGAAAATGGCATGTCCCTCACCCATGCTACTTTATTAGTCTCTCAATTCTCCCCTCATACCTTCACTCCATCTCCTCTGCAACCCCTCCAACTCTATCCTTCTCTCATCTCCCTTGCTCTGTGTCCCCAACACTGTCTCCCATTCTCTCTGCACTGATTCCCACTTCCCCTCCAACAACCTCACATTCTCTTTTTTATTGTCACAGAGCAATGGCAAGAGTTGTTCTGGGGAAATACAGGTTTCTTTCATACCTTGCGCTCAAATGCTTCCTGGCGTCTCATGACATCCTGACAGTAGCTCTCTATGGTCCTGCGTCTGTGTTTCTCTTGCTCCCGGGCAGCCTGCTGCTTCTCTCTCATCTGCTCCACCTAACAAGTGAACATATACTGCGTCTAAGAGTAACAGGGAAAGGGTGATCAGAGATGAAAAAAGTGTGACATGGCAGAGGATGGAGGAATGAGGGAAGAGGCGATGAGAGAAGATATGACAGCAGGGCTAAAAGAGTGTTTGAGAGAAAGACAAAAACAAAAGAGATGAAATAAGAGTGGCAGAGAAAAATAAAAAGGTGTGTATGAACCTGTAAGAGAATGCATTACAGGCAGATGAAATCACTTAAGACCAGTGCGGGGGAAGAGGACAAGAGCAAGAGATCCTCTTACCATTTAAGGATCAGGGAGAGGAAAGAGCAGCAAGAGAGACTGTGAAAATTTGGGTAAAATGAGAGAAAAAACTATCCATGGGTGTAATGTCAGGGAACAAACACCCTGGTCATACTGGCAAGAGCAGTATCAGGGGAGCAGTGGGAGCCTAAGCCAGACAGCAATGGACTTGGAAGTAAGGAGTAGGTGAACATATAGACACTAACTCAAGTATCAAGGCAACTTCCCTCTCTTCTCCCTTTCACAACCAACCCCAACAACCCAACCACCCTGCCCTTTTTTCCCTTTTCCTTCTGAGGGCCTAGCATTCAAGCCAGGTTCTCCTTCTCCCTTAAAGTAAAGGGCTTACCCTCTTCTGCTTTAATTCTCCCTCCCGGTTGGCATGACCACTGTAGTTAACAAGCTGGGAAGCAGAGGAAACTTTGCAGGCTGTTTTCTTCCTAATATTCTTTGTAGGCTGATCAACACATAAGAGAAAAAAATTTGAGTAGAGCTATATGAATCCATGGAAACCCTTGGAAGGTAAAGCCACTCAAAGAAGTATGGCTGTGGGTAAAAAAAAATAAAGGAAAGGATAGGCAAAAAGAAGGGCTGTTTCCTGTGATCTGTCCATCTGATTTGGAAAAGACCCAGGCCCAATAAGCAAGGTAAGCACAAGCTTACTTTACTAATTTATAGTCAACAGTTTCACATGTAACATTCACTACAGATTAATCAGTAAGTGCAAGTAACCCCACGTTTACCTTGCTTATTGAGTATTCTACCCCTGTAGAGACCCCCTTTCTCCTAGCCAGACAGGAACTAACTGAAGAACTTCAGAAGAGTAAGGTGGGGAGGGGAGGGAGAAAGTGGGGAAAGTTTCCCAAGTGAAGGCCAAGGGGAACACTTTCTAGACAAGTTGTTCTCAAAGTGTAGTCCTTAGACCACCAATGTGCATCACCTGGAAACTTGTTGGAAATATAAATTCTCAGATACCAAAACAGATCTCCTGAATCAGAAATTCAAGGGTGGAGCTTAAAACTCAGGCAATTCTAGAGGGCTAAAGTTTGAGAACCACTGCTCTAGTCCAAGACTTATTCACCCATACCTTTCTTAGCAGGACCAGGAAACCCAAGAGTTGGAACCAAAAATCATGTTTTGGCCTCCCTCCTTTCCATGAAAAGAGCCCGGGTGGAACAGTGGGCTGCAAACCAAAAGGTCAGCAGTTCAAATTTATCAAATTTATCAGTCACTTTGCAGAAGAGCTGAGGCTTTTTGCTCCCATAAAGATACACAGCTTCAGGAAGCCTATGGAAGGAACAGTTCTAGTCTGCCCTACAGGGTCACTATGTCAGAATCAACTTGACAGTAGTGAGACCTTTCTATGAAAAACAGGCACTTGGGGATCATACAGACTCAAGTCCCAGCTGTGTTAACTGGAACCTAGTAATTTTTTTCCTCTAAAAATTTAGATATTTCTTCATCTAAAATATGTTGTTGTTAGCTGTCATTGAGTGGATTCCATCTCTTGGCGACCTCATGTAGGCCAAGTAGAACTGTACTCCATAGGCTTTCCAAGGTTTCCATTTGTTTTCAGAGACAAATCACCAGGCTTGTCTCTTCCCAGGCACCTCTGGGTAGGTTAGAATTTACAACTATAAGCAGTCAAGTGCTTAACACTTTGAGCCATTCAGGAAATCTAGTCTAAAATATAGGGATGATAATAATTCCTACCAAAGTAAAACAAGCACAAAGCAGCACATGGGCTCAAGGTTGTTGTTGTTGTAAAGTAGTTTTGTCGGTTCTGACTCACAGTGATTCTGTATAGGGTTTCCAAGGAGTGGCTGGTGAGATTGAACCGCCAATCTTGTGGTTCAAATGACCTTGCAGTCCAGTGCTTATCCCACAGCACCACACTAGGACTCCATGGACCATGGTGGTGGTGGTGGTGGTAAGTGCTGTCGAGTAGGTTCCAACTCATAGCAACCCTGTATAGAGTTTCCAAGGAGCAGCAGGTGAGTATGAACTGGTGACCTTCTGGTTCAAATGACCTTGCGGTCCAGTGCTCAGCCCACAGTGCCACACTATGATTCCATGGCCCATGGTAGGAAATAAATAATAAATGCTGCTGTAAGCCACCCAGACCACAAAGAAAATCAGATCCTGATTCCAATGCAGTGCTCTGTCCATTCACCTGATATCTACTTTTTTTTGTGGGCCTCTTCCAGGTTAGGCAATCTGTTTCTGGCTTTACCTCCAATAATGGACACACCTTACCTGAAGCCAACTTACCCTCTTGCCACCTTTGGAAACTGGCTTTTTCTTTTCTGCAAAAAAGGAAAATAATAAGCCATCATCCACCTACCCAGCTGCTGACACATTAGTCACACTTGACAGGTCACACTGGAAACCTAAAGAGGCCTCAAACCCCATGTCTAAGTCCAGAACAAGTCACGAGTTGCAGGTGGCAACAACAGTGTTAGGGAAAGTATTGGAAAAAATGTCTAGAGCATTATTTCAAAGTAAACTCAAACAATTCTTAAGGGAAATCTGTATAGGGAGGTACCTGAATGTGGACTTAGGACTTTGCTCTCTCCCTTCCAACTTCCTGCTTGGGCAGCTCAACAATTTCGCTACCAGCCTGAGGTAGGGAAGGTGGCAGCAGGATGATCTAAGGAGTCCGATCTGGCTAAGCAGAGTTAAGATGACCTTAGCATGTAGGACAAGAACTACCCCTTCCTGCTGACCCTGCCATCATGCTTCTGCCTCCAAAAGGATCTGTTCTATTCAGCTAAACGACTACTTTCCTTAGCTACAAGGAGAGGACTGCAACTTCCCCAATTTTTGCCTCTAAGAACTCTAGAACTGCTGTCTATAATCCCCTTCAAAGTTGGCCTCCTGGGAAAGAATTGCTTCCCTTAATTCTCACTACCTACAAGGGGTGTGACTTCTGGTGTGGCACTGTGGATCAGCCACAAGGTCAGCAGTTCAAATCTACCAGCTGCTCCTTGGAAACCCTATGCAGGGGCTCTGGTAGTGTAGTGGTTACGAATTGGACTGCGAACCTCAGGGTCAGCAGTTCGAAACTACCAGCTGTTCTGTGGGAGAAAGATGAGGCTTTCTGCTCCCGTAAAGATTTACAGCCTCGGAAACCCTGTACAGGGTCGCTATGAGTCGGAACCAACTCCACGGCACATAACAACAACAAAAACAAAGTAGTTCCTACAGGAAGAGATAGATCCAAGAACAGACTTCCATGATCATTTCAGGGGGCTCCCACTGAAACCGTTAATTCAGTAAAAAAAAAAAAATTACTGTGAATTCTTAAGGAGACTCTAGAAGATAATAGCAAAGGAACCTCTCATGAGGCAAAAAAAACTTAACATTTGAATGTCTTAGCTATCCAGTGCTGCTGTAACAGGAATACCACAAGAGGATGGCTTGAAAAACCAGAAGTTTATATAGTCTCAGTTTAGGAGGCCACAGGTCTAAATTCAGAGCAGCCGATCAAGAGGAAGGCTCTCTGTGTTGGCTCTTCAGCTTTTGCTTCCTGGTTCCTGAAAAGTCTCCATGTGTCTTGGCATGTATCTTACCCCATGTCTTCTCTGATCCCTTGTTTAACATCTTTTATATCTCAAGAAATCTACTCAAGATATACCCTACACTAATCCTGACTCATTAACATAATACAGACAACCCATTCTCAAATAGGACTATACCCACAGGCAGAAAAGTGAGAATTTACAAAACATATTTTTGGAGGACACTGTTAAATCCAAAACACTGATAGTAAATTAAAATGTGATTTGTTGTTAAGTGCTGTCTAGTTGGTTCCAACTCATAGTGATAGATTTGAGTAGGGATTCCAAGGAGCAGCTGGTGGGTTTGAACTGCCAACCTCGTGGTTCACAGTTCAGTGCTAATAAAAACTCAATATGTGTAGTGAAAAACAGAAGAGACGCCACTAACAATTAGTAAACTAAAAGATCAAGGCAGAAACTCACTTAAAATGCAAACAAATGGAAATGATGCGTGAAAACATAAAATAAAAAGTTGAGAACGGCCCCATTAGACAGTAAGATGGTAAGGCGATATAGATCCTCTTCAACAAAACTAAGAACAGATTCAGATGATAGTCCTGAAATCCTGAACTTCAGATGAAGGGATAGAAAAGTGGACTGAATGATTACTAGAAGAGAAAGCTGAACAGACATGCTAGCTGACCAGACACAGCGCGGCTATATTAAACTTTTGTGAGTGGCTTCAGAAACAAGACAGCATATTGGCATTGCAGAAACCTATCCATGACTCCCAGCGATACAGGTGCAGTTTTGTTTTGACTGCTCCTCACACTCCCATGGTGATCACAGGCTGGCTGACCTTGACCCTTGTACACCCCCAACAAAGCTTCCACTCTCCCAGAAGTCAGAGCCTCATAGTGGTGAGTTGCAAGTCCCATCAAAGTGAATGGGGAACTATTTGCACCAACCCGGCCCTAATCCAAATCTGGAGAGCCAACCCTGGCCAGCCCTGGACTATCTCTCAGTAGAAGAGCTGAACAAACATATGAGTGTAAAAAAAAAAACAAAACTGGTCGGCCAGGTGTGGTGCAATCTATCTTAAACTCTCATGGGTGGCTTTGAAGGCAAGAGGGTGGGGTAGGTGGTGCAGAAGCACACTACTTATTGACAGAGAGAAAGAAGCAGAATTTTATTCTTGTATCTCACATTACCCAGGTGACCAGAGGCATAGGCAGCCTGAGCCACAACAAAGTGAGTGGAATCAGGTGTGGCCTACTACAGACCTACGGAGCTAGTTCTGGTCAGCCCTGGACTATGGGACCTCTCGCCCTCAGCTGCCCTCTGGGATGGAAATGTCCTGGTTCCCCTCCGCCCCCCTCATCTACTTTGAGGTCTACATGAATTACTTCCAACAACTTCCAGAAAACATCTATCCCTACAGGAACTCCATATTCGGCCAAAGAACCACCCACCACATGAGATCATTAGCTGAAAGAGGAACCTAGAATTTTCTCCTCTCTGGGTCTGGGGCCTGCCCTGGTTTATTTTTTTCATTGTTTTTGTTTTGTTAATTCTTTCTTCCCCTTCTTCCTCTTTTTACCTACGCTTGCTTTTTATCATTTCTATCTCTGCTTTCATTTCTTTTTTTTTTTTTCCTTCTCTTTCCCAACCACTGCTAGTGCTTTTATTTTTTATTTTATTTTTTCTCTCTTTCCCTTTTACTGGTCCGTCTCCTTAATTGTGTTTAGTTCTTTTTCTTTCTTTCTTTTACTTTTTCTCTTATTTTTTTTTTTTTTTCTTCTGTGGTTTTCATTTTTTCCTGCTTCCTCTTTTTCTCTTTTTGGTTTAATATTCTTTTTCTAGCCTTTGCCTGCTTTTTTCTTTTTTCCATTTACTTGCTTGTTTGTTTTCCTTCTCTCGTGTATCTATTCTTGCCTCACCCAACAGGAGAGACAGCAACCATGCCTAAAACCATACCATCTAAGTCCCAATCACCAGCAAAGAGCCAATACCAGCTGTTCTATACCTGATCAAGGACACAACCCAACATCAGCCAAACCCATCATAAACTGAGCTATGCAAACAGCAAACAGAGAACAAACAGTAAGCACACTTCCATCCCCTCATGACACCCACCAAGAGGCATTTGGTGAGTGCCAAAGACTATGTTAACATACAATCATCAATTTAATACAACTACAACAATATCACAATGTCTCGAAAGCACCAGACTATTTCTGTTCATATACAAAAAAGATGCAATGACTCAATAAAGGGATCATTTTTTAGGAAAAACAGCATTGGAACTACCTGAAAAAGAATTCAAGAGAATGATATTTAGGTACCGCTAAATGATTGGCAGGAGTCCTGGAATAGCACTGTGGGCTAATGCGCTGGGCTACAAAGTCATTTGAGTCACAAAAGTTAGTGGTTCAAGCTCACTAGCCGCTCCTTGGAAACCCTATACAGGGTCGCTATGGGTCAGAAGCAACTCGACAGCACTTAACAACAAACGATTGGCAGAAAGGTCAAGAAAAACAAGAAATAATTCAGGAAAGCACAAGAACAAACAAACTAAACAGATGAAAAACTGAAGACAATACAAAATCTGCAAAGAGAAATCCAGACGATTATTACTAAGATTTCAGATACGGAAAATACATTGAAACAAAGATTACAGGAACCTCACAGGCTGACTGTGCTCTCTTGATTGTTGCTGCTGGTGTTGGAGGATTGAAGCTGGTATCTCTAAGAAAGGGCAGACCCGTGAGCATGCCCTTCTGGCTTACACACTGGGTGTGAAACAGCTAATTGTTAGTGTTCATAAAATGGACTCCACTGAGCACCCTACAGCCAGAAGAGATATGAGGAAACCGTTAAGGAAGTCAGCACCTACATTAAGAAAATTGGCTACAACCCTGGCACAGTAGCATTTGTGCCAATTTCTGGTTGGAATGGTGGCAAAATGCTGGAGCCAAGTGCTAAGCAAGTCTTGGTTCAAGGGATGGAAAGTCACCCGTAAGGATGGCAATGCCAGTGGAACCACATTGCTTCAAGCTCTGGATTGCATCCTGCCACCAACTCGTCCAACTGACAAGCCCCTACATCTGCCTCTCCAGGATGTCTACAAAATTGGTGGTATTGGCACTGTCCCTGTGGGCAGAGTGAAGACTGGTGTTCTCAAATCAGGCATGGTGGTCACCTTTGCTCCCGTCAACGTTACCACTGAAGTGAAATCTGTTGAAATGTACCATGAGGCTTTGAGTGAAGCTCTGCATGGGGACAATGTAATGTAAGCTTCAATGTAAATAACATCTGTGTCAAAGATGTTCGCTGTGGCAATGTGGCTGGTGACAGCAAAAATGTTCCACCAATGGAAGCAGCTGGCTTCACTGCACAGGTGATCATCCTGAACCATCCAGGCCAAATCAATGCTGGATATGCACCTGTGCTAGATTGTCACCCAGCTCACATTGCTTGCAAGTTTTCTGAGCTCAAGGAGAAGACTGATCACGGGTCTGGTAAGAAGCTAGAAGATGGCCCCAAATTCTTGAAGTCTGGTGATGCTGCTATTGTTGACATGGTTCCCAGCAAGCGTATGTGTGTTGAGAGCTTCTCAGACTACCCTTCTTTGGGTTGTTTTGGTGTTCATAATATGAGAAAGACTCTTGCCTGGGTTTCATCCAGGCAATGGACAAAAAGGCTGCTGGAGCTGGCAAAGTCACCAAGTCTGCTCAGAAAACTCAGAAGGCTAAAAGAATATTACCTTTAACACCTGCCACTCCAGTCTTAATCAGTGGTGGAAATTACAGAACTTCGAACTGGTGTGGAAGACAGGCAGATTTCAAGATAAAGCACACTTTTAATTTGAAGAATTTAATAAATAAGGACAGCCTCAAAAAAAAAAAAAAACAAGACACTTTCACATCAAACCAATAAAAAGGAAAACCATAAAGATTTAATAAACATTAAAACAAAAATAATGAAATTGACAAGAAAATGCACAAATAAAATGAACAGAAAATTATGTGGAAGAAAACAGCAGTACCACAAACACACACACGCAGTAAAATGATTGCAATCAATTCATACCTATCGATAATTATACCAAATATTAATGGATTAAATATACTATGAGAGAGAGAAAGAAAGAGAGAGAGAGTGTGTGTAACAGAAAGGTTAAGAAAACAGGATAAACAGGATCCTTCAATATGAGATACACCTTACACACAGGGTAAAAGTAGATTAAAAACCAAAAGATGGAAAAAATTGTATCAAGATAATGGCAAAAATCAAAAACGAGCAGGAGTGGCAATATATATCACTGACAAAACAGATTTTTAAGGCAAAAACCAACATAAGAGACAAAGATGAACATTATCTCATGATTAAAGGGTCAGCTGAACAAAAGGACACAGCTATGCTCCCAATGAGAATCCCTCAAAATACAAAAATCAAACTCTAATACAACTGAATAGACAAATCTGCAATAATAGTTGTTGTTGTTGTTGTTAAGTGCTGTCAAGTTGTTTCCAACTCATATAGGGTTTCCAAGGAGTGGTTGGTGAATTTGAACCACCAGTCTTATGGTCCAGTGCTGATCCTATTATAGCGCCATATCAAGATGCCACAAGAATAGTAGTACACCACTTTCAATGAAGGACAGACAGTTAGAAAGAAACTTAACAAAACTGACCAATATGACCTCACAGACCTAAGAGTAGGAGAAAATATGGAACAATACTCGGAGTATTTTTAAAAAATAAGATCAGATTTACTGATAAATAACAGATTAGAGGAACCCAGAGACTAGGACCCTCAACCACCTTCTAGAAAGGAACTCACCCACATGGCCCAAGCAGTAGATAGGTGTAGAAGGGAACAGCAACATTAGTAAGGTATGCTCACCATTCAAAATCAAAAGGGCAACATTTACCTAGGGACAAAGTTGAGAAGGGATGGGAAGGAGAGTGGAATGGAAACAGGAACCACAGGGAGGAAGCAGGATAACCGTTGGGGATTGCCATCATTGAGATAAAACAAAGTACATAATTTGCTGAATGTAAATCTGATGATCTTCTCTGTAATCCTTCACTCAAATTCACAATAAAAAAAAAGAGAGAGAGAGAATAGACCACGGAGAGCTAATATCTAAATAATAGGTGTCCCTAATAGAGAAAAAAAGTACAAATAGAAAAGCAATAATTTTTCTAATAATAGATGAAAGTTTTTTAAGTGAAGATAAACTGAGCCTTTAGTTTAGAAAAATACATACCCTGGGCATATCCTGATGAAATTTCTGAACTCCAAGGATAAATAGAAAAACCTTAAAACTTCCAAAAAGATCAAGTTACCAAGGACAAATAGAAAAACCTTAAAACTTCCAAAAAGGAGAGAGAATCAGACAGTCTCCTCAAATCTGCATCTCTAAACATTTAAGACACAGAGCATGGGTGGGGACCATCAGGAGGCCCAGGATATCATTTGGCCCTGCCAAGGCAACAGCAGTTTCAGCAATTACAGTTTTGTTAAGTGTTGTAGAGTTGGTTCCAAAGGTTTCCACGGAGTGATTGGTGAGTTTGAACAGCTGACCATGCGGTTCAAACTGACCTTATGGTCCAGTGCTTATCCTATAGCGCCACACCAGGACTCTCATCACATTAATGGTGAGATACTTAAATGTTTGACCAAAAACATCAGGATAATTTTTAAGTTAATAATTTTGTATGGCCAGTGAATGATGCTATAAATTTTGGCAGAAAAGTCCTGGTGTGGCACTGCAGGATAATGCACTGGACCTCAAGGTCAGTTAGAACCACAAGGTTGGCCGTTCAAACTCACCAGACGCTCCTCAGAAGTCATATACAATGTTGCTGAGTCAGAACCACTTGACAGCACTTAACAACGACCCCTGCATTAAAGTAACCAATATTAAGTTCTGAGAAAAGGGACTGTGTGGTCCAAGTTAAACTCCTATCCATGGCCAATATAGATCACTCTTTGGAGGTAGGTAAAAGAAAGACATTTACAGATGGGCATGCCCTGTGTCCCTTTCTGGTAAAACTACTCCAGGAAATACAGAAACAAAAATGAAAATTAATTCAGGGTAAAGACCTGAAGCCAAAGGAAAGAAACAGTGATGAGAAGGAAATCTATTAAGACTTACCATTAAATCTAAATAAAACATTGATAATGTAGCTAAGAACAGTAATACATATATTAAGAAAGGATTTCTAAAAGCCAGAAAGCAAATGAAAATGGTTAGAAATGAAATGCCAAATTATTTCAACAAAATCCAGGAATCAAGCAATGGTGTTAGAAAAGTAAAAGCAGGAGATCAGAGAAAACAGTTGTTATTTAACTTTGGTAAAGTGATAGAGAAATAGTTTTAAATATACTTGATAGAAATATGAATGCAACATAACATTACTGGGGGAAGATTTTTTTAACAGATGGAGACAGCTTAAGTGTCCAACAATGGAAAAATGAATAAACAAACTTTGGTATATATACAGTGGAATAAAGAATAACAATGACTCTGTGAAACACCTCGTAACATGGATGAACCTGGAGGACATTATAATGAGTGAGCAGCTGGTGAGCTTGAAATGAATTTGCAGTCCGGCGCATTAACCCACAGCACCACACCAGGACTCCTGAGTGAAATTAGTGGATCACAAAAGTATAAGTATTATATGAGACTATTAACATAAAAACTCAAAAAAAGATTTCCATACTAAAACTAATATTTTATTGATGGTTACCAGGGGTGGGGGGTTGGGGGGAGAGTAATTCACTAACTAGAGGGTGGTGGGTGGTGGTTGTGTACTGTTGAGTTGGTTCTGACACATAGCGACCCTGTTTCCAAGAATATAAATCTTTATGGGAGCAGAAAGCCTCATCTTTCTTCGGCAGAGCGGCAGGTAGATTCGAACTGCTGACCTTGCGGTTCATTATCCACTATGCTACCAGGGTTCTTTAACTCAGGTGATGGGGATCGCAATATACAAGAAGGGGGAGAGCAATTTATAAGAAGAGTAGAGTTGGCAGAAGAATGATGAAGACAGGTGAAGACAAGGGCTAACAGAGAGAGATATTTATATATATTTATATAGAAATATTTACACAACCTTGGAACAACAATATTCTGAGGGTACATACATGCTGAATAGGTATGGGAGGAAGAATGGAATATATATTTATATATCCCATAAATATATGAGTTTGATAGAGGATATATTTACATGAGTGTTAACCTTTCCAGCAAGCACAACTATGACTGATTGCGATTGTTACAAATGTAGACATTTTGTAACAAAAAGAGGGGAATGGAGGACCCTGGGACCATACAGCCGGAGTGGGAGTGTAGGACCTTATTCAAAGAAGCAGCTATGCCAGAGATGGAGGTAGAGATGGTGACATGGAGAGATGGAGTGGCTGGGGACTCTAGACTCATGAAGGGAGAGGGCCTGTGTGCTGGCATCCGGAGGACAGGCTTTGGTTGTTTAAATGATTATATATTCCTGAGTCCAAATAAAAAAAATAGGGGACAGAAGCAAATATTGTTGAATGACAATGTACAGAGGGGTCTGTAATCATTGCAATGAAACGAAACACAATAGGATGAGTGTAAAGCTGATGTTCTCCCATGTAAATTATCACTCAATTCACAATAAAAACTTAAAACAACTCTATTCCTAGGTATACACCCAGAGAACATGAAGGTAGGAATGCAAACAGAAGCCTGTACATCAATATTTACTGCAGCACTTTTCACAATAGCCAAAAGGTGGAAACAATTGAAATTTCCATCAACAGATGAATAAAAAAATCAAAATGTGGTATATACATACAATGGAATATTACTCAGCTATAAAGGGAAATGAAGTCCTGAAGCATGGCAAAACATGGATGAACCTTGAAAACACGTTGAGTGTAATCAGTCAGTCCCAACAGAACATACTGTATGACCTCACTTAAATGAAATAAGCAAATATTTAGAAACCAAATATTAATAATGACCACTGGGGGTGGGAGGAAAGGGAAAGGGTGATGTTTGGGATTAAGGGACATTAGTTTACGTTAATGGTAGTAGAATAATTTGGAAAAGGATAGCTAGAATGGTTGTACACCTTATATAATCAATATCACTGCATTAGTTTTTAAATGGGATATGTCTAGTGTATATTTTCATATTTTTTAAAAAGAGAGCTCAAGCAATAATTTGATAGCAGACAATGTATGCATTTTCTGAGGGACTACATTCTAAAGAGAAAAGAGATTGCATTTTTTAAGCCACTACTTACAAAATACATAAAGCACTTATTTGCTAGGCACTGTTCCATAAGTATTTTACCTATTTTAACTCATTAAATCCTCACATTAAAGTTTAGGATGGGGAAAAGGGGTAAAGGAAACTCACTGTGTCTAAGTTTCATCATGATGAGCGGCTTCAAAGTAGGTAGGTTCAAATCTGCTGGCTTCCTGTTAAGACACTGGAAGAACAAATTTGAAGACAGAGCTGAAAACCACAATATCACAAGGCTTTGTGCCTTTTAAGTCCCCTATGGTGGTGGGGATTATGTGCCGTGGATTCAGTTCCAATTCATAGCAACCCAGTATAGGGTTTCTGAGGCTGTAAATCTTTACGGAAACAGAAAGCCTTGTCTTTCTCCTGCAGAGTCACTGGTAGTTTCGAACTGCTGACGGTGAGATTAGCAGCCCAACTGGTAACCACTACACTATCAGAGCTCCTAAACTGGGAGAAGGCACACACAAGGCAGGCTTATCATACTACCCAAAGGGAGGGGTAAATCTGAACCTCTCTTCCTAGGTGGGGATAAGTTCCTCAATGCACTGTATGGGGTCCTTGGTCCTGAATCCTCCACCCTTGTAGTGTTATATCCCAGAAAGAAAGGAACTAGCACTAAGACTCTCTACACTGGGGGGTGGGGTGGGGGCATAGGGGTAGGGGTGAGAGGTAAGGGGAGATAGATAACAGTGCCTCTTTTTACAATTAGGGGGAGCCCTGGTGGCACTGTGGGTTAAGAAACAGATTGCTAACTGCAAGGCCAGCAGTTTAAATCCAAGGAGAAAGATGCGGCTGTCTGCTACGGTGCAGATTTCGTGTATTAGAAACTCAAAGGAGTAGTTTGACTCCATCCTGTAGAGTCACTAGGAATCAGGACTGACTCAATGGGAGTGGTTTCAGGGGTCTCTTCTGAGACATCCCTAGGTAACACAAATGGGTAAGTGCACAACTACTGCCCAAGAAGCTGGTGATTTGAATCCACTCAGAGGTGCCTCAGAAAACAGGCCTGGAAATCTGCTTCCAAAAGGTAACCTTTCTTTAGACGTTTTGTAGCAAAAGGAGGGGAGTGGTTGACTTTGCAGTCCAGGAGTGGAGGGCCCTGGGACCATCAAGGGAGAAGAGTGGAGTGTGGAACCCTACCCAGAGAAACAGAGATGGAAGCATAGACGATGACGTGGAGAGATGGAGCGGCTGGGGACTCTAGACCCAGAGAGGGAGGGAGCTGTGTGCTGACAACCCAGGGGCAGGCTTGCCTTGGTCAGGTTTGCGGAGTGTACCATTTGGTTGGTTGATGATACATGGAGGGGACTGTAACCATGGCAATGTAATGATATATGCTAGGATGAATGTAAACCTAACATTCTCCCATGTAAACTATCATATAATTCACAATAAAAAAAGGTAACCTTTCTTGAAAACCCTGTAGAGTTCTACTTGGAACACAGTCAAAATTGACTTGATAGCAACTAACTATGACTAAACTAAAGGATGGTGGTTTGCATCCACCCAAAGACACTACAGAACAAAGGCTTGACAGAACAAAGGCTTGACGCTTGGGGGCAATCTGCTTCTGTAAAGATTATAAACAAGAAAATCCCATGGGGGCAGTTCCACTTTGCAACACATGGGATTGCCTTGAATTAGAATCAACTGCAAACCATTTGTGTTTTAGTTTTTTTGCGTGTTTTTTTCTTTTGGTCTCTTCTACTCTGGGAGGAGGGAGCTCTGGTAGCATAGTGGTTACGGGTCGAGCTGCTAATCTCACGGTCAGCAGTTCGAAACTACCAGCCATTCCGTTGAAGAAAGATGAGGTGGGGAGGGTCCTGGTGTGGCGCTGTAGGATAAGCACTGGACTGCTAACCATGAGATTGGTGACACCAACCAGTCACTCCTTGGAAACCCTACGGTGGTGGTGGTGGTTATGTGCTGTGGAGTCGGTTCCGACTCACTGCGATCCTGTATAGGGTTTCCAAGACTGTCAATCTTTACGGGAGCAGAAACCTCATCTTTCTCCCAGGATTCGCTGGTAGTTTTTGAACTGCTGACAGTGACATTAGCAGTCTGACTCGTAACCACTACACTACCAGAGCTCCTTTGGAAACCCTGTGCAGGGTGACTATGAGTCAACGACACTTAACAACAACTCTAGGAGGGTAAGAAAGACCAATCCCAACAGTCTATCCTGGCAGAAAGAGGGTCTTGAAAAAGGGCATATCTGCGTCTACACAAACTCTTGAGAGGGAGGGGATGTGTGCCCACAAGTGTGGATAGGCCATCTGTCACTCCAAACCACCACAGTGGCTCTACATATCTTCACGTGAGAGAGCAGGTTCGTACATCTCTAAGTTGTGGAAAACAGGGGTCCTGGGTCTCTAAAGAGGTAAACCCTAGAGAGGGCTGTGGAGTGGAATTAATATGTCTGTATCCACTATGAGGTGACAATGGTGTTACACTAACAAAGAGAAGGAAGGGCTACAACTTTCCTGCAGTGAGTCAGCTATTCTGGCCTTTCCACAGAAGTAAGGATGGGGAAAATCTGTGTGTGTGTGTGTGTATTCACACATACATATATATTTTAAAGTTTAAGTCAATAGCTCTAACACTGAAGGGAAGTGGACCTTTGGTTTCTCTGCACAGGTGAAGAGTATTAATAGATCTGCTCTTATGCTTTGGGGATCCCGGGGGAGAGGGGTCTGTGTTTTCACCCTGCATGGAGAACTGAATTCCTCTATCTTGGGTAAGGGAGTCCTGGTGTGGCACTGTGGGATAAAGCACTGGCCTACAAGGTCGGTTTGAATCATAAGTCGGAGATTCAAACTTAACAGCTGCTCCTTGGAAACCCTGTTTGTTGTTGTGTGCCACCAAGTCAGTTCTGACTCAACTGCCGCCCTTGCAATTCTCCTATTGTTGTTAAGTGCTGTTGAGTCGGTTCCAACCCATAGCGACCCTGAACAGGGTTTCTGAGGCTGTAATCTTTGTGGGAGCAGAAAGCCTCATCTTTCTCCCGTGGAGCAGCTTGGTAGTTTTGAACTACTGACCTTGCAGTTCACAGCCCGATTTGTAACCACTATGCTACCAGAGCTCCTTAGAGGGTCACTATGAGTCAGACCAACTCAATGACACGTAATTATAATAATCTTGGGTAAGTGGGTATCCATATGCCAAGTATGGGGATCAAAGATGTCAGTCTGATCAAAGATGTCAGTCTGATCAGTCTTTCAATACTGAAAGGAGAGGGAAGCTAGGTGGGGTCTTACCCTTGTAATATTTGTTTTATGTTGTTAAGTCCTATCAAGTCAGTACAGGGTTTCCAAGAAGTGGCTGGTGGATTTGAACTACCGACCTTTACATTAGCAGTCCAGTGCTTTCCCTACAGCGCCATTAAGGACTCTCTTGTAACATTCCTTGATTTTAAATCCTTGGGGGCATTTAAGGCAAGTAGAAGGTAATCTATGTCTAGCTCAAAAGGTAAGAAACATATCTGAGACCCTCGACCCGGGGGGCCTCCTAAGGGTCAGAATTAGCTGTCTCTTTGTGGGCTGAGGTTTATTTTTGTTTTTTTTGTGGAGATGAGCATTTTGGGGATTGGGCCTTTACAAATTCGGTACACCAGTCTGATTCACCACAAAAGGGGCACACTCTAGCCTAGGAGGGGGGTCACTGCATGACCTTAAAGCCTGTGTCCCCAACCATTAAGGTGAGGCTAATCAATGGTCACTGCAGGAGTGAGGGCAGGCCTCCATGAATTAATAATACAGAGGCCAGGCTGGGAGGAAGGAGATTCCTGCCCTCCTCAGTATATTAAAACTAAAGTCCTTTATACTGGGGTTGGGGATAAAAGTGGTGGATAAAAGTGGAAGAAAGGAAGCAGCCCGCCAGGGTGTGTGGAGGGAAATACATCAAAACCTCTGCCTAAGGTAGGGGTGCTCCGGATCAGTCTTACGCGAAGGATCATTCTTATACCAGGGAGTTTCTACACTGTCTATCCCAGAGAGTGCGGTATGAGGCCTCACTATCCTAAAGGGAGGAGGACGATCCACGGGGTCTGCAACTCTGCACAGCGTGTGGCGCTGGCGACTCTACACAGCGTGTGGCGCTGGAAGTAGTGGGGATGGGGCCATGCCCCTAGAAGCCAACTTAACTAAGTAGGGCGCGTCTCTACAGGCGGAGCGATATTTGGCCTCCATCCCATCACCGACGGGAGGCAGATCTTTAACTGTTCTAGAAAGTTTCACCTCGGATAGACGATCCTTCCCACGCAACCCTGCCAGGTAAGCGGTCACCATAAGAAAAGAGTAGAGTAGTCTCTTACCTACACTTATGCCTTGGAGCCGAGTGAAGACCTTAGTAGAAAGAGGTTGGCCAAGGAAATGCGTTTAAACCCTTGGCCCCAACTTCCGGATCCCAGTCTCGCTTTGAGTGGTGGCTCTGACAGTGGTGTATCTCAGTGGAGGCGGGCCTTTGGATTGACAGCTGTTCCCGGCCGGTCAGTTCCTCAGTAACACGCAGTCCCCGCCTCTTTACTGCTCCATTGGTTAAGGAAATAGCCAGGGGGCGGGGAGAAACCAGGAAGTGGTAGGAAAAAGCTGCTGAATCGATTAAATGTGGCTATAAAATCTATTTGTTTGCGTAGTTATCTTCTCTGCGGGCCTCTGTCTGTGCCTAAATGTGGTGTTTCCAAGTCTTAGTGACCTAGAGATCACAACGCCCACGTCAGATAGCGTCGGGGATCGGAATGCAAGATGGCGAAGGGCTTAATGCGAGAAAATGGCCTCCTGGGTCACAAGTCCGATAGAGTATTTCCCCACCTGAAAATGAATTGGTGAGCTTTTTCCATCAGAGCTCCACTGGGTCCTGGTGTGGCGCTGTAGGATAAGCACTGGACTGCTAACCACGAGGTCAGCAACAACAACCACTCCCTGGTCTTTTCTACTTAAGTATGTAGTTGTTAGGAGACCTGGTGTGGTGCCCTAGAATAAGCACTCCACCTCAAGGTTGGCTTGAACCGCTCAAGTGTGGTTACTAATCGGGCTGCGAACGGCAAGGTCAGCAGTTCGAAACTACCAGCTGTTCCGCGGGAGAAAGATGAGGCCTTCTGTAAAGATTTACAGCCTCGGAAACCCTGTACCAGCTCCACGGCACATAACCACCATACTGTGGTGCTATGAGTCGGAACCCACTCGACGGCACTTAACAACAACAATGTGGTTGTGAAGTGCCTTGGAGTCGGTTCAGAAGCAGTGATCCCATATAGGGTTTCTGAAGAGTGGCTGATGGGTTTGAACTGTAAACCTTGTAGTTCACAGTCCAGTTCTGATCCTACAGCGCCACACCAGGAGACATTGCAGTCGTTGTTGTTGAGTGTCATCGAGTCAGTTCTGACTCATGTTGTTGTTGTTAAGTGCCGTCGAGTCGGTTCCGACCCATAGCGACCCTGAACAGGGTTTCCGAGGCTTTTAAATCTTTATGGGAGCAGAAAGCCTCATCTTTCTCCCGCGGAGCAGCTGGTAGTTTCGAACTGCTGACCTTTCGGTTTGCAGCCCGATTCGTAACCACTACGCTACCAGAGCTCTTTTAGCGACCCTGTAAAGGGTTTCCAAGGAGCACCTGATGAGTTTGAACCGCCGACCTTCCGGTTGAAACCGACCTTGCGGTCTAGTGCTTTATCCTGCAGCGCCACACCGGGACTCAGTCCATAAATATAAGCAGCTAAAAATCCATGCCAGTTCTTACCGGAGTTGCAGCCTAAGCAGGACCTAAATCCTGAACAGTGGAAGCTTATCTTACCCTCTTCCGTTTTTCTTCTTCCTCCCCTCAGGCCCAGAGCAGCATCTGCTGGAGAGAATCTATGCTTGTAGGAGTCAGAATCCACAGTACTGCAGTGGGTTTTGGTTTGGGTGAACTGGGCACAAGTAAGGGTTTCCACAGAAAATCATCTCCAGGAGTTCCTGTCCTAGCTAAGGAATGAAATCTACCCCTTAAATCAGTAATTAGTATGAAAATGTCTTCTGCCTGGTAATTTTAATTCCAGAAACACCTCCCCCCACCCTGTTAAAAGCTCAAAGAAATTGAAGCATGAAGTTTATTCTGAGTAGTTATTTTATATATAGAGAGAGAGACCATTTTGAAAGTAAATGGCTTAAAGTCTGATAAATATAGAAAGCCTGTGGAGCGAAAAGGAGGGAAAAGAATAGAATGCCAATCACTGACTAATCTTAACATTATAATAGAACCCTCAGCGGTTCGAAACTACCAGTCGCTCCGCGGGAGAAAGATGAGGCTTTCTACTCACGTAAAGATTTACACCCTCGGAAACCCTGTACAGGGTCGCTATGGGTCGGACCCGACTCGATGGCACTTAACAACAACAACAACAACATCCCCCCTTTACTAAGATCAAATAATATCAGGTTGCATCTGACTTGGGTGCTAATTATTTGGTTCACCACCTACCTGCAGTCATGAAACTTGAAATTTCATTTGGGAGACTGAAAGATCAATTTGAAGGTCAGCAGCAGTTCAAACCCACCAGCTGCTCCTTGGAAACCCTATACAGGGTTGCTATGAGTCATAACCGACTCAATGACACTTAACAACAACAGATTATTTTTTATAGTGAGTGCTGGTGGCACAGCAGGCTAAGTGTTGGCCTGGTGGGCGTTCAAAACACCAGCCATTCCCAAGATGTTGTTGTTTAGTGCTGTTGGTCGGTTCCGACTCATAGCAACCCTGTATAGGGTTTCGGAGGAGCGTCTGGCAGATTTGAACCACTGACCTTGCGGTTCAAACTGACCTTGCAGTCCAGTACTTATCCTACACCACCACACCAGGAAGCCAGGGAGAAAGATAAGTCTATCTTAAAGATTTACAAAGTCTCTGAAATCCTATGGAGCTGTTCTAATCAGTCCTATAGGATCACAATGAATCTGAGTCTATCTGAATTTACTCTCTAACAGTGGGTTTAGATGCTTTTTTATTTAAACAGCAGGTAATGATTTTATTCAGTATACTTTTCTAGCAGGAAAAGTCAAAATTTACATTGATACAGAACAGTTTCTGTCAGGCTTTTACAGTTTCAGTCAGGCTTTTTATGGTTACTATTTAGTTTCATATGGAACCCTAGTGTCAGAAACCCTAGGTAGGGTTACTATGAGAGGAAGTGGCTCAATGGCAGTAGGCTTCATTTGTATTTGGGGTATTTTGTTTCATGGATAAGAGAAACCTTAAAATTAAAGTAAGATGTCTGTTATTAATTTTCCCATTCAACATTTAATTAGACTCTTTGATTACTAATCAATCTAGGTTTCTTCAGGTCTCATTTGTTGTTGTTATGTGCCCTGGAATCAGTTTCGACTCATAGTGACCCTGTACAGGGTTTCCAAGGCTGTAATCTGTATGGGAACAGAAAGCCTCATCTTTCTCCTGTGGAACAGCTGGTAGTTTCGAACTGCTGACATTGAGGTTCACAGCCCGATTCGTAACCACTACGCTACCAGATACTGCTTTATGAGGTACCTTTTTTTTTTAAGGTTTTATTGTGAATTATGTGATACTTTACATGGGAGAGCACTAGTTTTACATTCATCCTATCATATATCGATTCATTGCCATGGTTACAATCCCCTCCATGCATCATCAACCAACTAACCAAACCTGGCCCCTGGTCGTCAGCACACAGCCCCTCTCCCTCTCTGTGTCTAAAGTCCATAACTGCTCCATCTCTCCACATCATCATCTCTGCCTCCATCTCAGGCATCACTACTTCTCTGGGTAGGGTCCCCGCTCTCCACTCTTCTCCCTTGATGGTCCCAGAGACCTCCGCTCCTAGACTGCAAAGTTAATCACTTCCCTCCTGGCTACAAAATGTCTACCTTTACATTTCCAATCCTCACAATCAGTCCTGATAACAATTATTCACTATTGTATCCCAAGAGACTTATCCACATTTCATTTCATCAGCCACGCCTAGACAGATTGGATACTATTCAGTGGAAATTCTACCTTCCTCCACGCCCACTGGATCTAGGTTCCCTCTTGAAAGCTTGTAAGCCAGTCACTTCTTGCCTTTATAGCCACCTCATTTTGGGTAGCCAGTGTCCATGTTGCCCATCCCTGTCTACTCTGTGTATGGAGGGGGTGGAAATGATCCTTGCTGTAAAGATATGTTCCCTCTTTGGAGCACAAGAAACGTAAAAATTATGGAGGAGCACTTAGCACTGAAGGGAAGTAGACCTTTGGTTTCTCTGCACAGGTGAAGAGTATTAATAGATCTGCTCTTATGCTTTGGGGGTGCCGGGGGAGAGGGGTCTATGTTTTCACCCTGCATGGAGAACTGAATTCCTCTATCTTGGGTAAGGGAGTCCTGGTGTGGCACTGTGGGATAAAGTAACACAATTTTTCCTTTTAAGAGTCCTTGGGTAGTTGTGACAGAATAGGTTCCATTTTTTGTTTGTTTGTTTGTTTGTTTCTTTGAACAGGGATTTTAGTCCAAAGTTGTTTGTTTTTAGTATCTTCTTCTGCCTCCCCCTCTATCAGATCAGCTTCCTCCACAGCCACCACCTCTTGGTGCTCCACAGCTTGAACTGCTGTCAGAATCATGTGGAGGGTATCCCCTTTCCATAGAAGGGGGAAGCCCTCTTTCTTGCCTGCCAACCCGATCACAACCACTTGAGTAGAGATCACTTCGGCTGCTTGAGTAACTGTCACAACTTCCATCATATCTGTTTCGTGAGCTGCTGTAATCATCATAGCAACTGCTTCCACCATAAGATGGTGGGGGCCCTCGTGTAGGTGGAGCATTATGTGAGTTACCATAGCTCTCATAGAAATCTCTGCAGGAGCCTCCACTTGGATGGTCTGAATAGTCACTATCACAACCATAGCTATCTCTATCACTATAGCCTCTGGATGGATAGTCATCACGTGAACTGGAATGACCATAATCACGATAGGTATAATCTCTTGGTGGTGGTGCATAATCTCTTGAATCATGAGAATTTAGGTAATCTGTGCTTGGATAGCTGTCTTTAGTGGAATAGCCTTCATCTCTTGGTGACAGGTATACATCTCGATGAGAGGGCAGGGGGTTCCCTTCTTGGTGGTCCTTCATAACTATCTTTTCCACGTGATACAGGGGCTCTACCTCCCATTCCACTCTTACTGCGAACTGGTCCTGAAGGAGCTGATTTTTTAGGAGGAGGATCACTACACTTCATGGTGGTGGTCCTCTGTTTACTGGAAGTGGTCCCCTGGAAGAACTCATGTTAAAATTCATGGAATAGCCATCATCATCCATGTGTCCCCCACGTGAAGGGGGTCCCTGGTTCCTCCACTGCCTCCTCTTCCACCTCTAAGGCCTCCTGGTGGGCCTCTGCTTCTTGGAGGTGGAGGAGGTTCACATCTGCCACTTTCAAATGTTGGTTTAGTGGCTTTTTCCACCTTAATAGCTTTCCCATCCAAAGACTGTCCATTCATATCTCTGGCTGCATCTTTGGCATCTGCAGGGCTTTTAAAGGTGACAAAAGCAAATCCTCTTGATTTATTGATTTCACGGTCTTTCATCAAGAATATTTTGACAATTCATCCATATTTGCCAAATACTGCTTCCAGGGCTTTCTCATTGGTTTCTGTATTGAGCCCTCCAATGAAGAGCTTTACAGGGCAGTCGGCTTCAACCATTTTCCCCCAGCGGTGAATGTTTACGAAGTGACGACCATTTCGAGATGCTACTTGGCTCGCCAGGAGGCACTTCTTTGCTG